TTAAAAGCATGTACTTGATTTATATCCACATCAACAAAATAATCTCCAAATGAAGAAAAATGGTGCCCCACAACAGGTCTTATCTTCCACCATTAGTCAACTAAACCAAATTTCTGGCACTTTTCTAATTTAGTCACATTCTTGTCCTCACCTGAAGATAATTACATTCAGGAATATTAATGGCTAGGTCCCCAAGTCCCACAGCAGTAACATACAGGTAGTTGGCTAAGCTGCAAGCTCTGCTAAGTTAGTTCAAAAAGCAAGCAAAAAATTCATCCAGACAGTATCTACGGGTAAACAACATCATTATACTCCATTAACCAATTCAAGAGAGAAACAGAAAAAAAAAATCTGAGAGTAATTTAATTGTAAGGGAAGAGAATTATAATAAGATTCTATCACTGTTTTCCAAAGCAAAATGCCTACAGAAACATGAACACATTGAAAATATGTTGTTGAATCTCCAAGAAAAATGCCAGTCTGTACCTAAGTCTGATACCATGTGATAATACATTCTAGGTTCTCATGTATGGCAAGCAAAGAATTGCAACTGTACATCCAAAGGTGAAAGAAAAAGCAACTACATTTCTTGAAGAAAAAGAGAAGGCTGGCTCAGGGCAAGTCCATAACAACAGAAAGCAAAAGATGACATGAACAGAAAATTGGTTGGGAAGACAGGGAAATAAGACTGAAGGTCTGGCTATGAGATCTAAAACACTCGGGCAGACGGGGAGTGGCCTCCCCACCCAGTTGTGCTACTTGTACTAAGGTAAGGTTCTTAAATAAATTTCACAGGACTCACAGCAAAATTACAAGCAAATCAACCTATTTTGATTAACACAAAAAGAAAACACCAGAAATACCCAAACTTTGGAGAATCTCAAAGGATGAGATAGAAGTTGTCATTGTGTACAGCCTTGTATTTTAGCTTATATTTCACCTGTCTACCTCTTGCCCTGAATCATACCCCTAGAAAGCAGGGACTTAGTAGTTAACGTTTTAGTTTGAGTTCCCCGGAAAACAATGAGTTTAGACTTTACTGGCAAGTACCATCCCAGAGCTGTAAGCATGAAGGAAAAGATAGCTGAAGCAGAGAAGGATAAGAAGCAAATGCATGATAAGGCACTGATGTAGCCATTCAGCAGCCCACAAACAGTCATGGTCTGATGGATGCTTCCACCCAGCCAGGCAGGACATAGAGAAATGGAGAGAGAGCTTGTCTGCTAGCTGCATGCTGACTCTTATTTCTCACTGAGGCATGTTTTTCCAAGGGAAATGGATTCCCCTGAGTACCGAAGCCCCTTCAACAGCCAGAAGGGAAACAATGTCCCATAATGCCCTGTGGTACAGGAGGGCATAGATTTCCACAAATAGTAAGAGGGGCCACAGACCACAAGCATCAGTCCTGGTAAGCAAAGTGCTTAGGCCACATCCAGTCTTTCACCACGGCAGCTGTAAAGACCTGAAACCCAGATCAGGTGAGTCTGAAAGAAGGCATTCAGGATGGGCAATACTGGTGGTTTCTGAAGCTAGACCCTGTGTACATTCTGAAAAGCAAACAGGGAAGTGATGGGCAGCAGCACAGATTCTAAGTTCTGTTTCATCCAACCTTTTGCATGAATCTTGCTTCTTTAGTCAGCTCCAGCCAGCCTTGCCACGACCTCAGCGAGGCACACTTGTCTCAAGGAAAGGGCTAAGGGACCAAGGATCTTAGTCAGTACTCTTTTGAGACTGGTCACCTGCTGGACGGAAAAGTACACACATATCTGTGATCCTAGCTACTCAGGAGGCTGAGGCAGAAGGATCACAAGTTCAAGGCCAGCTTAGACCACTTAGTGAGAACTTGTATCAAAAAATAGAAAGGGTTGGGAATGTAGCTGAGTGGTAGACTGTTTGCCTAGCATGTACAAGGACATGGGCTCACTCCCAGTACTGAAAAAACAAAACAAAACCAAAACACCTGGTTGTTTTAAGAACCACCACCAGGCTGGGGATATGGCTCAGTGGTATAAGGGCTTGCCTGGCAAGCACAAGGTCCTGAGTTTGACCCCCAGTAATGCAAAAACGAAAAAGAAAAACACCTACCATCATGTTTTTGTCAAATTACTGTTTACAAGTCTTCCAAATGATTTTAGACTAGTGTCAGAATCCCAAAAATGGAGCCCTTCCCCTGAATAGCAGGATAAGTTTATCTATTTGTTTGCATGTTATACAGATTTTTAAATAAATAACTTTAAATTTTTAGGAAAGTTATATGTTGTACATAAAATTGTAAATAATTTAAATTCTCTAGATTTCAAAGAGATTAGCCATAACTGCACAGTACTGAAGCTGCTAAATGCTGCTTGTATTATTATCCCTGGGAAGGACACGGTTGGTGGTAAATAAGCCTATTGCCATTTTTCAGAATGAGTCATGAATTATGTGCAATCTTTAAAAACATATCCACATATAAGGTGCCTGCTTGTTTTTGCTGGTGTTTTTATCATTTTACAGATGAGGAAACTGAATGATCACGTGATTGAATTTGAGGGCTTAAGGCAATTCTTTAAGCAAGCTATATCCCTTTCCATTCCATTGCATTCATGGCTCCCTTCCTTCCAACTCTGTTATCCAATGTAATAAGCAAAACTTGTCTTCACACATGGCATTTAAAATTTTGGCTGAGCCTGTGGCAGTCCACCCAGTGTGTTCCTTTAGATTGACGTTAGGCTAGTTCTTTTCATACTGTGGCTCAGCTCCAAATCCACTTATCTATCTACTTTAAATGTCAGTGCGCCACAGTTCACATTTATCCCTGGGAAAATAACAGTAACAACCACAAAATAGCAATGTTTTTCATTCTTTGAGCTCCATCTACTCTCTTGGGCTCTTCACATACATTATTTCATTTAATTCTCCTAACAGCCCTGTAGGCGATACTACTTTGATTCTTATTTTACATATAAGTAGTAAAGTGAAGTTCAGAAACATTACAATTAGGGGTCAAGGATGTAGCTCAGTGGGATAAGTGTCTTCCTGGGGAAACATTACATTATTTGACCAAAATCACAAAGCTCACAAGTGTACACTTATTCCTGAACACAGACTTTTTTCCATTGATCTAAACTGACTTACATTTGCAAAGTACATTAAAGTTAAAAGCAAAACCATAATTGCTTATTTCTTTGTACGCATACTGACTTGTTCAATCTTTATCACAATTTGTTTTACAAGTTTAAAAAAAAAAAAAACCTGAAGATCAAAGGTTTGCAGTATCTTTCCTAAGGTCTTGTAGCTTAAAGTGTCAGAGCTGGGAGTCTAAGCTCTAGATTCCCTGATTGTCTAGACTGTTACTTCTCCTTAGAGAAGCTCCAATATCTAGCTCACATCAAGATTACCTGTGTCCTGCTCTCCACATTTGCCCATCTATTACCTTTGAAACATGATGGGTTGGGGAGATAGCTCGGCAGTCTAAGTGCCTGCCTGGCATGGTGGCACATGCCTGTAATCCCAGCACAGGCATGGTGGCGCATGTCTGTAATCTGAGGCAAGAGGATCACTACTAGTCTGATCTGCCTAGCAAGACCCTGCACCAAATAATAAATAAATAAATAAATAAATAAATAAATAAATAAATGATTTTTTTAAAAAAAGAAACATGTGAAAACTAGTTTTCCCAAATTATGTTAAATTAAAAAATCACTTAAAACAGTGTGTCCACAAGTTCCTGCCCTTTGACTTAATGAGAAGCCCCTGTTCCCTGATAACTGGAATTGTATACTGGGGCCTCATGTGGATTTCAGAGATGAGAGAGACAACTGAAAAATTTATAAAAATTTTACAAGATATTGAAAAGAGGCATATAGCTCAAAATACATAGCTAACATATTAATGGGAAGCTGACAAGATTATTGAATAGAGGAAGAAAAACGAAAACAACACAACAGCATTATCTTCGTACGCTGATGGAAATATAATGTTTTCTTTGCACGTTTGTTACTGCCTTAGAATGATAGCTTATTCATTAAGATTGGGTTTTGCTGCAAGTACAGAAAGACCCAAAGTTACAATAGAAATAAGATGTTACTTTATGCCTCTTATAAATAATGAAAGCCAAACATTGGCAATATGAGGACTGCATGGTGCAGACTTAGGACCTTCTTACATCATTGTTTGGCCACTTGTGCCTTCCATTTTTAAAGTTATCTTATGGTCCAAAGAAGCCGGTGGAGTTCCAGTAATTACAAATACATTTTGTGCAACAGGGAGAAGGAAAGAAAGAAGGGTTGAGTCTGTCCCTTTTAAAAACCTTTTCCAGAAATAACTCATACCCATCACTTTTATCTTTTTGAGCAGAACTGCACTATACAACCACATCTACACCCAGTTGCAAGAAAGCTTAAGTCCTTTAGCTGGGTGTTTTGCACACATATGAATGCAGAGTTCTGCTCCTAAAGAGGAAAGGTAAGGAATATTGAGGCGTGTACAACCAGTAGACTCTGCCACAAATAGATAAAGGGTAAATACAGCAGTAAAAATATGCCAATAATGTACTTGATCTGTCTCCTCAAACACATCCACTGCAGGATCTTTCAACACCATAAATGGACACCATATTGCATTTTCTATTTATGAAATTTTAATGGGAAATCAATTTATATACTTTTGTAGCAAGAATAATGGAAATAGATTGGCTATCAAGCAAAAACTGAGAATACTGAGCTTTGCATTATACTAAAATCACAATGTTCCAATCTGGCAGTTGGCTTTTGTCCTCAGGCTGTGAGGGCTGGATGCATTCGATAATAAACATCTCGTATCATCTGTATTTTCCCATTGTTACATTGCAGATTGCTTAAATTGAGCTTGCAGCAGCCTGCTTTTCTACTTAATTATATTCATATTTCAAGCAAGTACAGCTCCGATTTCAAGAGACACTGCTATCAGAAATGACATTGAACTCCTCTATGTTCAAGACAATATACAGAAACCAAATGCCTCTTTATAAAACCACACGAGTGCTCACTTGGCAGCATACACACTAAGATTGGAGTGATACAGAGATTAGCACGGCCCCCGAGCGAGGATGACACACAAATTCATGATGTGTTCCACATTTAAAAAAATAAAATAAAATAAAATGAAAATAAGTGGTTAAATGAAATTTTGGAAAAAAAAAATAGGGTATAGGATGCAGACCTATGCAAGAACAATTGTTCTTTTAAATAAATACATTTTATTTCCAACAAAAATATAATTTTGTTTTTGTTTCTGTTTTACTGAAAACATTTTATTGGCCTTCAGAACAGAATAGGGATTTATTTGCTAGGAAGAATGATGCCATCATACCTCTGCTGAAACCAGCGCATGGCCTCCTCTTTGCTGCTTCTGTGTTTGGCCTCAATGCAGCCTGTCCTGCACTTTTTGTCTGAGACGCTGAATCCTGGCCTACCCAGCACCACATAGAAGTCCAAACCATAGATGCCAATTGCTATGGTCTGTGTCTAGGTGTTCCCCTAAAGCCTCATGCCATCAAGGGGCGGCTTCTGGAGTTTGTGATTGATTACCGTGGGTGTGGGTGCTGCACCTGCCCTGGGGCAGGGAATTTGTATTACAATGTAAGGAGGGAAGAGAAGCTAGCTGCTTGAGCTGCTGCTACTCTTCTTTTGGGGCTCTTGCTTTTTGCTTCCACCGTGAAAAGCTGTTTTCTGCTTTGTGCCACTGTGCCTTGGAGCCAGCTGAGTATGGACTGAAACCTCCAGTGACTGTGAGCTAAATAAACCTTCCTTCATTTTGAGTGGTGGGTATTTGTCCCAGCAACGAGAGAAAAGTAACTAAGACACTAATGTTTGGGTCATATTTGATGCCCAGATCAATATGTTCCTGGATTCCAAAACCAAAGTTTCCAGTATCAGAGAAGTTGTTTTTCCTTAATTCATACTCTCTACAGGATTTCTTCTGCCTTCATCCCTCGGACTGTGCAGTGGACAGTGATCTTCTCGCTTCTTCTGATGTCAAAGGACCTGACAGTGTATCTAGCTTTAGAAAACACAGGAGGCTGGCCCGTGAGCGGCTCAATACCTTGGCTGCCCGTGTCAATCTGTCTCCACTCTCCCCGATGCAAAGTAGAAGTTCCCACATTGGGTTCTCTCTCTTACCTTGATCTTGCGCCATGGTGGAGAACCAGAAGAGCTTCAACAATAATACAACTGTTGATATTTATTCAGAGATTATTATGTGCCAGGCAAAATCGAATATTTTATCTTATTCATTCATAGACTGAAAGAGGTTTGGTGTTTTGTGTGAATTTTTTTCTGAGGCTCTGACTTTCATTCATCTTTTCTGTAAATACTTGCCAAACACTATATATCGGGCACTGTACTACAAGATAAAGATACAGGCATAAGAGATAGGGTACCATCTTAAAAATGCTCATAGCTTTGTCTTTAATGTGGACAGTAAGATGAGGACAACATAATATCTGCACATATTTGCTCTGGGCCGGGTCCCCTGACTTCATGTCCTGGCTCTGCAGTGGGACTCGAAATTACATCATCTAAATTTGATTGCCCTCAGCCAAAAAATGGGCATAACCAAAGTACTGAATGGTATAATCCATTTAAGTATTTTGTTAGACACAATATAAGTGTCCAATAAATGTTAGCTGTGATGATTCCTTATATAAACAATAACACCAGGGGGTTAAAGGAATACCAAGAAAGACTACATTCAGATGTAAGGCTGGAAAGGCTGTAAGAGGAAATGACATCTACATTGGGTGTTGAGGGATATGCATCTCAGCTATTCCCTCAACTTCTTTAGCTTTCAAAGGTCAACCTACTCCTTAAGGACCAAAGGCAATAGCATGACTCATATCCTTGTAAAAGCAGAAAGTCTCCTCTTTCTATGTTAAACCCTTAGGCATAGTCATGAAAACTATGATTTAATCAGATTTCCATTACTATTAAAAAATACCTGGGGCCGGGGAGATGGCTCAGTGGAATAAGTGCTTCCCTGGCAAGCGCAAAGGACTGAGTTCAATCCCTGGCTCCACCAAAAAAAAAAAAACCTAAGATAATCAGCATTTAGAGAGGAAAGGTTTATTTTGGCTCATGGTTTCAGTAGCTCAGTCCATGGTTGGTTGATTTCATTCTGAGTAATATAGGGAGTTCATAGTGGAGCAAAAATGCTCCCCTCATGGTGGCCAAGAAGCAAAAATCAGAGACTGTGTTGCGTAGAGAGGATTCCCAATACTCCCTTCAAGGGCATGTCTCCCAGGGACCTAATTCTTGCCACTTGACCCAACATCTTACAGGTTTCACTATCTCCCAGGAGCACCACAGGTTATTGATGGAGCCTTTGACACAGGGGTCTTCAGGAACACTTAAGACCCAAACTACAGTACTGAGGAACAATGCCACAAATCCTCGGGCCCAAGTCAGAAGGCTCTTCCTGGATCATTGAATCATTGCTCTACTTGCTCCACAGCATCTCCACTCACACCTATCCATTCATCTTAGGTTCCTTCTGCTTTCCCCATTTCATTTTGGTCTCAAGATTGGACTTAGACCTCTCATTGGTGCCCCAGGCTGCATGTAGAAAGAGAGAGTTCCTTTCAACAAGGCTTCACCAAAGGATTAAAGGGAACAGACCACATCTAGAAAGCAGCACATATTATGGTAAAGGTGATTACTCTGAGAGACACAGCCCAAACACAAGGCTACTTCTCCAGATTCCACAGGTCCTTTCCTAATGAAAGTCACTCTCTCTCACAAAAGGGACTCTTCTGCCCACTGTCCAAGGCCCATCTCTTTCCTTCCTCAAGATGGCAAGTACATAAATGTCCATTTCCTTCAAGATTGCTGTTCTCATCCCAAAGATACCTGGAACAGTCACTCACATCTGTGACTCCCAAAGCAGGATCATTCCCATCATGACTGGTCTGGTCCATCCAGCACTGCATCAAGCTGGTCCACATTCTTTTTTTTTTCAGAACCAGGGATTGAACTCAGGCTCTTGTGCTTGCCAGGGAAGCACTTATTCCACTGAGCCATCTCCCCGGCCCCTGGTCCACATTCTTGACGCTGATATCTATTTGCCTTGAGGTGCAGGAAAGTCCTGGTCTATTGTTGGGGATTACAAATTCAGGATTGGTAGTTTTACATACGTCCCTAAGAGATGAATGGCACCTTGGGGTTTTTGGTATTACCTTTTTGAGATTTCCCATAACCCCATTAAGGGTGGGCCATCATCTCCCATCTACTAAGACCAAGGCTAAGACTGCCTAAGACTAAAGATACTCCAGGAAAAGGTCCTTATAATTTAAGATCCTCACCACCCTCTGAGTCATCCTATAATACCCTCCTCAATAAATAAATGCTGAAGTTCTGGTAGCCCCATGGCCTTTTGTGCCTTGTGAACAATTAGTCATCCCAGATTCCCATTGTACCACCATTTTGTCTCTTTCCTTTCTTCCTTCCTTTCTTTCTTTCTTTTTTCCTTTCTTTCTTTCCACTATCCACTGTAAAACCTCTGCAGGAGTCTCTGATAGTCCATATGACTCTCCTGTCATGGTTTTCAATCTCAAATGCATACTGTTTGGATGAAAAGACCTAAATAAACATTTAATATCTTATTCTGAAGCTTTTGCATTTGTGGTTATCCTATATGCTGGGTATCCCTGAGAAAAATACAGGGATGTTTACCCTGCAAATACATTACCAAAAGGATTCATTCACATAATCTATCTTAACACAAAGGGATGTTTCACCCCAAAGACAAATATTCGCTGGTTGACTCTCTCATTTCCTCATTGTTCTGCTCCCAGCTAGATCATGTGTTAGATAAATTTAGTTTTTCCCTAAGCTTGTGTTTCAGTAGTTTGGACTAGAAATAACCTAGAGCAATTTGAAAGCAATAAAGAGTTGTCTTATTAAAAGCCACTTTTGCTTTCTACTGCTATTAAAACACAATGTCCCTAGGCCACAAATTTTTTCAGGAACGTTAGACATATAAGCTGGAGCCCCTGTCTGAACACCAGGAAAATAGTTTTGGCTAGTTAAGAATCATCGGATAGGACTGAAACCTCTACAAACTGTGAGCTGAAATAAAACCTTTCTTCCTTTAAAAAAAAAAAAAAGAATCGTCGGATTTTTTTTTTCAGTGTTCTTCCATTATAAACACAAACCACCTTCAAATACTTAGAGACAAGCTTATCAATACACACATATTGATAATTCAATTTTTGTGATTGTGTTTTATACATTTATAGTAAGTTCTATGGGCATATATTTTTATATATTAATTTTATTGAGAAAGAATTAGCAATGAGACAGTTCCAAAACAGGTTAGTAGGACAGTTACAATAATTAATACATTGCAGACAACCCCCTACTATTGTGGACTACTGGACTCTGTTGGATTGTTTTGCTGAATTCAAGCACCTATAATATTTAGATGCCAGCAGAATACCCATCTCTGACAGGACTGAACTGGAGAAGGGGGGATACAGAGGAAGGACCATTTTGTATTTGTGTATACAGAATAGTTAGGACAGAAGTACAGTTGCTTTCGCTTGGTTCAGTGAGAGGGAGGATTTGCTGTAGCAGTGTTTGGATGGGATGTCCTGGCTGCTTCTTGTGCTGTGGATGACCGCTGAGAAGATAACAGTATACAATGTATTAATTATTGAAAATGTCCTATTAATCAGCTTGGAAAGTGTCTCATTGATATTTGTTTCTCAATAAAATAAAAAAATTTTAAAAATAATTAATACATTGCATATGGTTTTCTTTATAATAGTTATTCATTGTACAAGATGAATGAGACATGATACCGTGTCTAAACACTATTAGTTCAAAACTTTCTTCTCCTTGAACTAAGAGAAAGTAGCTGTATATCTATGCTAACTATTTTGTATATACAAATATATTTTTTTTAACTACAAAAGGGACTTTCATTTATATCCCTCTTTTTTGTTTACTTTTGTCAGAAATGGGTACCCCATTGACATTCATATATTGTAGGTGCCTGAATTCAGCAAAGTAATGCAATATAGTCTAGTTTGATATTCAAATACATTCAAATATACACTCAGATTTTTATTAACATTACTCTAGTAA